TCTGATTAAAAGCCTTTCCTCAGGGACCACTCACACCCAGCGTGTGATTATGAGCCTTTCCTCAGGGGCCACTCACACCCCAGCCTGTGATTATGAGCTTTTCCTCAGGGGCCACTCACACCCCAGCGTGTAATTATGAGCCTTTTCTCAGGGGCCACTCACATCCCAGCCTATGATTATGAGCCTTTCTTCAGGGGCCACTCAAACCCCCAGCGTGTAATTATGAGCCTTTTATCAGGGGCCACTCACATCCCAGCCTGTGATTATGAGCCTTTCCTCAGGGGCCACTCACACCCCAGCGTGTAATTATGAGCCTTTTCTCAGGGGCCACTCACATCCCAGCCTGTAATTATGAGCATTTCCTCAGGGGCCACTCACATCCCAGCCTGTGATTATGAGCCTTACTTCAGGTGCCACTCTTAACCCCAGCGTGTGGTTTTGCGCCTTTCCTCAGGGGCCACTCACACCTCAGCGTGTGAATATAAGCCTTTCCTCAGGGGCCATTCACAACCCAGCGTGTGATTATGAGCCTTTCCCCATTAACTACTGGTATTTCTATTGTATGTTCTCTAGTAATGGTTCTATAACCTATGTAAGGTTGAAACTATGTTCTATTTCAAATATCTTTCCGTAGTTTAAAAAAATGAGTCTTTATTCATGATATTCCTGGTGTATAATTGAATATTTCACTGAAGAATTCATCCAACCACGCTAATTATTGGTTTATTCCTGAACGAAATATTGTAGTAACCTTTAAGAGATATCCTGAATTCGAGGTCTGATTTCATATATTTTCAACTCAATCTGAACTCTCTCTTTGAAGTCTATCAAGTGTTTAAAGATTTGAAATCAAATATTCAAAACATGTTTAAATACGATGTGTTTGATTATTGAAAAATCAGCGTAGCTGGCTTTCGGGCTAAAATTCCTTCAACAGGCCACGAAGCGCGCAACGCACTGTGTTATACAGAATAGCTGAAGTTTTCTATTAAATAATACCGAATTAGGATGTTCAATTAATATTGTCCTACTGTTAACAGATGGCACCTATACATGGCCTGAATTCCTGCCTAGAATATCAATTAAAGTTTTAATTAATGCCTTGATGATGTTTTGGGAAACTATCAACGGATGATAGTTCAATGTTGTTTCTATTTGTTCCCACAACTTGGTCTAATTGAATATCAGACCTATGCTATTAGTTAGTGATGTTTTAAACTTGATCATATTTTCTGGGATCATCCTAAATTACTGTATTATAGTGAAGATACAATCAAGGAAGGTTTTACACTGATACTCTCAGTTTCATATCCATTTAGCCAGAAATATTCATTTATTTAACGTTACGACAAAAACATTAGAATATAGAACTCTCATTTAAGGATATGACAAAGAATTGTGTTAACTACATTGGATTTATGGTTTACATTTGAATAACAGCTGTCCTAATCTGGTATTATTCATTAAGTTAAATGGTTTTATATTCTATAAAGGACACTATTATTCTATATTATATCAGAGTCAATATTATGGATGTGTTTGCTATATCTGACATAATGTCCTACAGAAATATGAAAGATTAATTTTAACGACTTATCAATATTTGTATATAATAAATTGTTATTATCTGTTTATGTGATTCACGTTTTGAATGTCTAGGATTGATTATATCGTTAATGTATCAGAATTATAAAACCAACTTTTTCAAATTCATTAATCGCTAATTATTTTACCACATAATATTTAAGATTTTGAAAATATTATTTTTTTTCTGCAGAAAAAGTGAATATTTGTCAAATACCTAATATTCAAAATGAATAATAGATCTGTATTTTGAAGCAATTAGAGTTGTTTATTGTACAAATTTCATCACGATAAAAAATCACAATAACTAATGTCAGAATTACTGATATTAGGAATTGTTACATACTAAAAACTATGATATTTATCATTATATAATATATATAAACTCCCGGTTATTTAATTGGTGCAATTCTAAAGAAGGTAACATAAAAATATTAAATTAGAAAAATACAGTCGCAGGTTTTATATAGAATCATATTTTGTTACCTTTTTTCAGTATTATATCAGACTGAGTGCAGCGAGTGTTGAAAGATTGTGATTTTCTCATCTTCTTGCTTAGCTCCATTCAATCTAATTAAGATGTCAACTCTGTGAATATTCAGCCAGATCTATCTATGGAATATATATATCATCAATGGATGATCCAATGCTGTCGATAATATGGTTAGGGTTTGCAGGCTGAAGGTTGCTCTTTATACCTAGTGGAAAACCCTGCCACCGCTCTGGAAGGTCATTGAACGTAAATAAAAATATTAAATTTTGTAATTTATTGACTACAGTTCAATTGAGAGGACAAGCTTTATGCTTGTTCCCTCTTCTCTATGCCAGTTAAGTGCTGCGGCGAATATGCATTCCTTTCTACATTTGATCTTTATTGTATTGAGGACGTCTCTTTCATCAAATATAGGGGTACATTGTCTGGCCTCAGGGTGAACAAATGGTTCACATTTGACTAAAGATTTTCTGATAAAAATAACGCACAATATGTTTCCTGGGGAAAATGTTTGTAAATACACTTTTATATTGGCCTTAGGAGGTAATATAATGTAAATACCTGTTGTTTGTTATCCCATTTAAATGTAATGTTTAGTAGTAAATGACAATAAAGGGTAGTGTTTGAAGTCTCTGTGCCGCCTGCTGTTGTTCCTCTCGCCATCGGCAAATCGCTGCTGCTATTCTTCTGGTAAGTCTCTCGTGTCCCCCCCACCAGTGGTAAAGCCGAGAGATACTGCCAGAGGAAGGGAGTTCCACTTGAGCGGGGGTTCTCGGAAGTCTTTGGGTGCTCTGCAGGGTACAGCTGCAGAGGGAGAGCAACGGGAGCTCGGGTAGGTGATCCACGGCGGAAGAAGCGCGTCGTCGCAAAGAACCGGAGGGTCAAAGCGCGACAATATAATAAAAGAAACTTGGAGACGCCGGTTATGTAAATTTCTCTCTTTTATGCTTATTCAGCCAGAAGATTCACATATTTGTAATTATAATTCTGTATATAAGGATGCGCAAGTTTAATAAAAGTGTGTCAGTAACAATCGGGTGTTGGTGAATTATTAGTGTCATCAGGGTTTCTGGCGTTGTGGGCACTTTTAAGGAAGCAAATAGGCTTCGATTAGAGAACAGAAGAAGTCTGGCAAGAAGATACAGTCAAGCTCTGCCATAACTCTTTAGATAAGGCCAGACATATTCAGGATGCGGCAAGCTTTCCGAGCTTAGTAAGTGAGACAGTGATCGCATCCGAAACAAAACTTATCCTCGGAAATTTACATTTGAATAATAAATTTGATTCAGAGGATTAAATTTCTAATAAGTCAACACTATACTAGAAAAGAATGGTATGCGCAAGTTGGTTTAAACAATCAACCGATGGATTTAAAAAAAAAAAGAGGAAGAGAATAGTTCTAATTTGATATTCTTTCAAAGAAATTCTTACAATAAAAGAAAGCAAGCAAAGAGAAATATAATAATTTTACAAAAGATTCAATATATAATAGAAATAAGCAGAAGATTATTCCTAATATCAGATATGTTTTCTGAAAGATTAAAGACCAAACGAAGATTAAGTATAATTGAAGACATTATTAAGATGGACAATGGACTGTTTGTATGTATTAGTTGCCTTAACCCTAAATCATGACCATCTCTAACAATACAATAAATGATAATAACATATCTATTGATATAAAAGAGAGTAATTTACCAAAAACATTTATCATTTTTTTCATCATTGCCTTTATACCAATAATTTGATTTTTTTCATTCATTTGGCTAGTTTCATCAGGTCAAATCTGGAGATAGGTTTCAATAATTCAATATATGTAATTCTTTCTTTATATAGAAAAATATATATTGGTAAAATATATAAATTATTAATCTCTTTTAAATCAGGAAAATAATAATTCAAATTAAAAAATGATAAAAGTTTTATTTAACCATTTATACAAAATATTATAAAAAGAAGCTGGATATGATTTTTCAATCCCATGAATACAAATTGTTTTCAAAAGATTTATATTGATTTTATTTATTATTATCCCTAGTATACGTGGTATAGGCTATGATAATCATGGTAGGTAAAAAGTTGGCGACTGCTTTTATTGTAAGTGCACCACATGTCTACACATGTGAAAAGCAGTTCGACTTTTGCACTTACAAATGTGCCTGAGCCCAGTTTTGGTTACTTGCACTCGCTGGTGGGGTTAGACTTTTTCAAGAATTGGGGGGGGGGGGGGGGGGGGGGGGGGGGGCATTGGAACATTTTTTTTTTTATTAGAAAAAATTGCCCAATGCGGGATTCGATCCCAGGTCGTAGCGGTCGAAAACCAACGGTTTAGACCATCCTTCCACCAACCTCCTATATTGAATTTTAATCTCCAAAGACAATAACAGAATAAACGGAAGAATTTATTTACCTCAGCAGTTCCAGAATATTCAACGCAGAAGATTCTAATAGGAATTGATTCCTAACCTTCTACAGTAGAAAAAAAAACAATTTGTATTTATATTATCATTATAGGTTTTTAATTTATTTCTGTGAAACTATATTGTTTGTTTTAAAAATAGAACAATCCATAAATAAATCTTTAAATATAAAGGCATACATTGGATCAAAATATAATTTATTTTACCAATATTTCAGTTGGCTGAACGCCAACCATTTTCAAGGTATTATAACATTTTAAAGTGTATCAACAACAAACTCAGCGACACATACCGTCAAAAGAATTAATATATATACATAGTATGTATAATGCGGCCATGCTTATAGAACGTTGTTTAACAATTTTTACCTCAAATGTTTATTTTTTAGAGAACGAAAAATCGATATTTTCATTATTTAAAGAGAAATAACGACTATTCCTATCCTTAGGATGAAGTATGAAAGGATGAATTGTGAAGAGTAATGATGAACGGAAAAATAAATGCGTCCAGGAATGGGAAACGAACCCACAGTGTTTCGCTTACCGGACATAGGCCATATCAACTAGGCTACCTCGGACATATTTTTCCGTTCGTAAATATTATATAAAGTTAATTTATAATACAATATAATGCGGTTTATGATTGTAGAACGACGTTTAACAATTTTACCGCAAATGTTTCTTTTGAATGAAAAATCGTAATTTATTTTAAGGAGAAATAACGACTATTTCTATCCTTGGGGATGAAGTATGAAAGGATGAATTGTGAAGAGTAAGGATTAACGAAAAAATAAAGTGTCCAGGGATGTTAACGAACCCATAGTGTTCCGCATACCGGACATATGCCATATCAACTAGGCTACCTCGGACATATTTTCCGTTCGTAAATATTATATAAAGTTAATGTATAATACTATAACAGGCATTCATGCTTATAACATGCTTATAAACATGATGAAACGCGACCGCATGAAAGCTTGCTCCTCCTTTTTGAATAAAATAATAAACTATTTTTGTTAATATTTTATCTTTATTTGTTATTCAAGTATATTCATTTGCAACTATATTTCAAATATCTAAAATATATCTTCGCTAAATGGAATAATTATAATTCTTTATTCTTACAAAAAAATATCCCAACAATTATAATACATTATAATAAATTATATAATACACAGTATAAATTATATTTCAATTGATATTTTCCAGATTAAAAGAAAATATTAGCATTTCTAATTTATTATTAGATTGAAAAATGTATATTTAAATGGAATTATTTACGAGAAAACCAACAATAATAAAGAGAGAGATGGGGAATAGATAATTTCTCATGTATAATTGAATTAAGTGAATATATTATTAAGCGCAAAAAATAATTATAGGTATAAATGGTTATAAAAGGTGATGGTGTTGTCTTGTCCATGGATAAGATCAGATCGGTCCATGCACCCTGATCACAATACCGGCCAACTGAGGTACCGTGTCCGTATGGATGTCCTCTTCTGGATTAATTACTGTCATATAGAGGGCTTCAAGGATGGCCGGGCAACTGTATATGTGTTACGGAGTTATAAAAGGTAATTATGCAAATATGAAAGGAAAAAACCCTAATTTTGAATTACATAAAATAGAAGGCACAACCAATTGAATAAAAATGGAAGAAATTTTGGCTGATCGCTAAAAAATCTTTTCAACCATTTGACTAAACTGATGTTTCAAGCTTTTATGATTGTCATCATTATCCATGTTTTGCTTGTTGAAGCGTTTCTTACAATTAAGAATATCAAAAATAATATTATAAAATTGTTGTAGATTTGCTTTTCACTCAATATAAAGTACAGGTAATCGAGTTGAAGGGGGGTCGTTGGAAGGATGGTCTAAACTGTTGGTTTTAGACTTCTACGACCCGGGTTCGATTCCCGCATTGAGCAGCTTTTTTTCTGATTAAAAATGCTCCAATGGCCCCCGATTCTTTCGAAAGTCAAACCCCACCAGCGAGTGAAAGTTACCAAACGGGATATGGCACATTTGTAAGTGCAAAGTCGAACTGTCTTTCAAATGTGTAGACATGTGGTGCACTTACAGTAAAAGCAGTCGCCTACTTCTACACACTATGATTATAATGGCCTGTACCACGTGTACTAAGGATAATAAAAAAAAACCTAGTCGAGACAATGAATTTTATGGCGTTAACTTGTTATTTTATTTAATTTAATTCAAATTCTCTACATGTCTACACATGTAGAGATCTTTTCTACTTTTTTACACAAAATATATTAAAAAGAGAAAGGGTACCATTTATTTACTTCCATTTATTGGAATCTATGCAAGAATATGGAATAACTAAAGCAATTATTTTATAAAAAGTATCTAATAACATATATGAACTTGGGTCGCAACTGTTAAAAAGTAGCATTGTATACTATTACGCCAACAAACGTATGTGTTTGGAAATTTGAAATATTTATATGTCTTATGATTCTTCTAAATAGACCATTCCTTTATATCTCTTACTGCAATGATAAAAATAATAGGAGGGCCTGGCTCATCAGTGATGTCCCCTACCAGCAGTTTCGCTAGTATAATCTATCATACCGCTGTAATACAACAACAACAACAAAGCCTTTATTTAGGGCCTCTCGCCCTATACAGGATTCGCCAGTTCACAAGGGATGGGGAGAACACTGTGTGGCCTTTTTCCGGGATATAATCCTGTGGAATACAAATATCGCCACCGCTATATACCTATTCTTTGATATTTCATTAATTAGTGCCGGAAATGAAGGACAAAGTTGCCCCGTTTCATACCGCTGTAATATTATATTTTTCTGAAGCGATTTTAAACTGATACTGAATACCATCTCTTGTAAAAGGTATTTTAAACAAACTATGGGAATATAAGCTTTGGGGATAGAAGAAATACAATTTTATTATATATTTATGAACATACTTCGATCACTGCTCTTCCTCAAACATCAAAAATAGTTCATTCAAACTTGATATAAAATATATCAATAAAAATATGGTACGCTAATGCATATTGTATATTTTAAATGTTCGAGTTTTTGAATGAATACATAAACCATGCTAAGGAAAAACGCGCAACACAATCTCAAAAAGTCACAGAAAAAGGTTTTTGGCCTCTTTCTTTACGGAAATGTTTAAAATTCATATTTTTACGATAAGGCGGAAGTTGGAAAAAGCAGTAAATGGAGTATTAAACCCATCATCCCAACAACCAATACGCTTTATGGCTGACAATGTTAAAATCGGGGACGCGCTTTAAAACTCTTTCAAGCGTAACATGGTCAAATGGGATCGATTAGCGAAACTTTGACTCTCTTCCTTCCACTTTTTCATCTTCTTTTACAAGTTAGGTTCTAGGGACTTGTTATCCATGCTTCACCGTTCTTAAATAGCATTCAAATCGAATAGAATAATATAGAAAAAAATTAGCTGAAAATACATAATGAAGAGCATAAAGCATATGAGCATAAATCATCATAAAGCATAATATAGCGTTACAACTGGAATAAACTTGAAAAAAAATACTTTTATAAAATAATAAATTAATATAAATTGATAAATACCAATTTGAACAGTCAGAATGAAAAATAATAGATATAAGAAGAGGATTGGTGGATTATTTATTGTAAATGAAAAGTTAAAAGAAGCATATAAAAGATCACAAATTAGAGGATCAATGAGGTACTGGAAGCCAGGAACTAATAAAGAGCATCAAATGATGAAATTTAAAATATTAGAATTGGAAAGTAATCAACTAGATTAGGGTATTGTGCTGTGCTAGATATTGTCTTGTCCTGTTCTAGATAGTGTATTGTACTCTGCTGAATAGTCTTGTACTATTATGGATACTGTTCTGGATATTAAGTCTTTGTAAAGAGCAGAGACACATAAAAAGCGAGAAAAAAAGTTATGATGAAAATTGGTATGAAAATCTTAATTCTTCAGATATATTTAAATATAGAACATACAAATAGCTATATACATAGCTTTTTAAATGCACTTTCCTATTGTGATTGATAAAGAAGCCTATATTTTTTTACTTCTTCTATTTGAAGTTCAAAGTAATAATTAACATTTGATATATATAAATACATTTCAACGCATTTCAAATAATACTCCGTACAGAATACTAGTTTATGAATACAATTATAATACATTTAAATAATACCCGTTATATATGTTGATGTTTATCATTTAAAATATTCATTTTCATTCTATGATTTAATTAATCTGTGAACTAATTTATTCTGTGGTGTTGTATGTATATAAATATGTGTATTTCTTTGAGTAAGGGTGGGAGATAGTATTTGAGGAGACGTTAAAGTGTAAGAGTATTTAGTTTTAATTATAGTCATTGTTTTTTGTGCCTTCAATAAAGAAGTTTTAAGTTTTAATAGAGACTAATTTATTAAGATTCCCCCAACAATATATGTGAAAGAATAAGAAAAAAATAGAAATAGGTCAGATGTATAATTAAAAACAAAGAAAGGCATACCCTAACCTCTCAAATGAGCATTTTTAGATAGCGAAGCACCATCTTGTAGAACAAAAATCATTTAAACGTTGATTTAACTTATTCCGTAATATTTGGCCAACCCAATAACTCATTTCTTGATTTCTCAGGAAGCCACTAGGACCATAATTTTAGTTGATTTATGTTCCAATAGATGGCGCTCTCTGTCTTTAAAATGATTATGTAAGCGGTCAGAATATACCTTATTTTTGTTTTAAATATATATATAAACTCTAATATAGAATATCCAATATACGATATTTAAAAGGTTTTCTAAGAAACTATTTTATCTATCATTTTTCTTCTTTTTAAGATGATATCTTTATATTGGCTGTGGTTGATTCTAATACCTGATATTCTGGCTTTTTTTCCTCATTTGGTAATATTTGTCTTGTAAGAATATAGGATAAACCCAAGAAAAAAAAAAACAATTTCATTAGGGGTGAAGGTTTTTTAAAATTGTTTTTATTTCCCCAATTTGATATTTTCATTCAATTCGATAAGCCGCACCTTCGAATAAATTCAATCAATTTACATCTTCTGATTTCCATATATGATTTCCCGGTTTTCAAATAGTACGAATTATATTTGTGAAATTGAAGAAAAGGTAGATTCTCAAAAAGAAAAATATCTCATTTACCAAAAATATATATGTTTACTATGACGTACATTTTTTAACTTACGAAAGGAATTTCTACCTAAAGTATGAACAATCAACCTGAAACTCCATTTTTTTAATTTATCAATATAATTCTCATTATGAAAATTAGAAACTTGCAAAATGGCGAACCCTTTTTGGTTCGCCATTTTGCAAGTGTATAAAAATAAAAAAGAAGAGAGTGTCTATATTATAAAATTAGAAACTGTTATAGACGCGTATTCTTTTAAAAATTAAACAATTTCTACTGCCCTTACTGCAATGTAAAAATTAATTGGAGAGCCTTTTTCTTCATTGCAGTAAGGGGAGTATAGAAATTGTTTAATATTTAAAAGAATCATACGCGTCTATAATGGTTTATAATTTTCATAACAGATGGCG